GATAGGAGATAGATGGACTGGCACTTTCTTATTGTGATAAACGCATAAAGAACAGGTTTTTCTATCAAACAGATCACCTAAATTCTCTTTTATGCTTTTTTCACTGCACTCTCTCTCTCCATCTTACTCCCTGCGTTTCATAAAGAAACTCTTCAACTTCTGTTGAAGCCTTCTATGTCCTCAGCCCAGGTCCTGGCAGAGATGACACTTCCCACTCCACATCTTTATAGCAAGTCTCGTGATCAGTTTGCACAGGCAAGTTGCAGCCCAGGGGCTGCTCAGACCTATGGGCCTCATCCAAACTCTGCTGAAACCAAAGTCATTGTTTGAAAGGTTGAGTGTATTTCCATCAGCTGAAGCTTAGAGGCAAGGCCCTAGCAGAGGCTCAGCTAGGTCTGCCTCAGCGCACAGCTCCATGAAGTCTGTAGCTTGCTGCCTGTAGCTGCAGGATTTTGCCCAGAGTCTGGGATACACTGCAGTCCTCCTTCTTCTCCTGGGCTGCTCCATCAGGGAAAAAAAGCAGCCCTGAATCTAGAAAGTACTCAAATATTAAAAAGGCTTTGATATTGATGTTTATATAACTGGGAAAATGTTGCTTACAAAACAGAAGGTAAAAAGACTACACTCTATGAAAAATGTAGAGTGGCCTTTCCTTGCTAAGCAGGATAGTGTAGTAGTGTAATGTACCTAAAGGTGCTGCCTTCTGGGTGCTGCCGAGTGGAGCAGCTAGCTCTGCTGTATGTCCTGCTTTCCGAAATGCACCAACTTAACCCTGTCCTCTTTTTTTTTAATTTTTTTTTTTGTGTGTGTGTGGGTTTGGATTGGGGCAGGTCTTTAGGAAAGAAACTGCCAACCCCTTGGACCTTTAACTATATGAACCTTCCTGCATTTATTCCATGATTTCGCTTCCAAGAAGAGAAGTGTCCAGAGCTTGGTTAGCCATACAAGACATTCCTGGCTGTGGTTGTACTGCAGCGACCGCAGCAGCCCTCTGCTTTCTGCTGCCCTTCGCTTTGACCCAGCCACATCTCTGCTGCTGGAGGGAAAGCAAAACCCTCTCCTTGGACTATTTCTGCTCCCAGGACCCTTGGGCTGCCCTGGTTGTCCTAGCAGCTGCCCACCGAGCGCTCCTGCCTTTCACATCCTCTTCCTCTGCTTGCATAGTCCACAGCTCACATTTTGCTTCGCATTTTTCTTTCTTTTTTTTTTCTTTCTTTTTTTTTTCCCCCTTTAACTGCAGAAAGGCCTCCTCGCCTAATCTAATTGCAGCTCCTTTGTCACAAGCAGATGTCACTTTTACATCTGTGCGTCTGCTCCAGCGCCCCGTCCCCGCCAGCGCCGCAGATGTTCCCGCCGCGGAGGGAAAAAGCAACGCGCAGATCCCTCTGCTGGCGGCGGCTTGAACGGACCCCGCCAGAAAGTAAAGCAAAATATATATATATATATATGTGTGTCTGTGTGTGTGTATAGGTGTATATATATATATTGCAATTCCCCCTGTCCTATTCTGGCTGATCACTAAACACAGAACGGGAAGAAAAAAGTAACGGTGAGGAGGAGGAGGAAAGCGCGATTTTTCCCTCTGCATTTGGAAGTCCCCGGCCCCGCACTGCCGCCGGGGCAGGTGGCAAAATCACTGGGGAGAAAATAGGGATGTGTCGCGAGCTGTGCCCCCCATCCCGCACGGGACCGCCGCTCTGTGGGCGTTTGCGAGGGGCTCCCGAGGCAGGTGAGGACCAGGGCAAGTATCTTCCCCACGGTCAAAATAAACCTGTCTCCGCTGACACCAGCGCTTCCCAGTCCGCAGCGCTGCCAGGGCTGGGCTACCGGGCCGCTCTTGCGCCGAGATGGTTTGGCGTTTCTCTGCAAATAAAGCAATCAAGGGGAAATCCTCGCCGGTATTTAATATTTTATTCAACCCCGTGTTATTGTGTTTCGCCTGCGGTGAAACATCTCCGTGGGGCTGAGGCATGAGAGGCCTGACAAGCGCTTTCCCAGGCATTGCCACTCCGGCACAATGGCATTTTGTTGGCTGTTTTGTTTCCCGGCCTCCAAACATTCCTTCTGACTTCCAGAGGAGGGGGGACACGGCCCCCGGGGGACATGGGGAATAGGGAATCTTCTCTATGAATGGTGAAGAATAGGAAAGAAAAGTGTCTTTTAGGCTTCCAGGGTGTTTCTGCGGGGCACCCGCTGGCCAGCGAGCACCCCTCGGCCCTCCCGATGGAGGCCGCGCACGGGCGCTGCCCGCGCTGCCCGCCGGCCTCGGATCCAGGACCGAGACAAAAGGGCCCTTTTGGAAGGAAAAAAAAAACGAGGGGAGAAAGAGGCAACCGGGAGGCTCTAATTCTATTTGCGTCGCCTGGAAATCAGAAGGGGTTTTTCCACACTTCGCCTTGATTTGATTATTCCTTGGAGATGGTTTCTCTGCCCCCAGCCAGACGCGTGGGGGGAAGGCCGCCGAGGCAGTTGGCCTATAGTGATAATAATCAAATTAACC